AGAGATATCACTTCTGTCATAGCACGGTATTGTAACAGGTATTGTAACATTACCACCACTGTTACATATCCATTTTCCTCTTTATAGTAGGAACCTACAAAGCATAAAAATCAGAAGCTAGAACTCAAAAACATTCCTCAGGACCATATCATTTGCAGTGTCCAAATCTGGAGGAAAATAGAATGTGACAGCAGATAAGAACCATTCGGCTCATCTAGTCTCTCCAATTTTCTAAATACTTTTATTTTATAGTGAGGATAGCCTTATGCCTATCCCACGCATGCTTAAACTCCTTCACTGTGTTAACCTCTACTCCACTTCAGCTGGAAGGCTATTCCATGCATCCACTACCCTCGCAGTAAACAATACTTCCTGATATTATTGTTAAACATTTGCCCCTTTAATTTAAAATTGTCCTCTTGTTGTCGTAGTTTTTCTTATTTTAAATATAGTACCTGTGGCGGAACCAACCTCGCCACTATGCACTGGAGAAGCCTGGTTGCCAGCCTCCTGCCATGTGACTATGGCCCCTGGGATGTATTGCCCTTTAAAGACATGATTTGGGCATAATGGATTTGTGTTGTGCTGCTGCTGGCCCTTTTAAGAACCATCTGGGGACATACTGTGGAGTTACTGGGTGGCCACCATTTCCTGTATCAGAAGCACATGGTGAGAACAATGGATGGCGGCCATTTTAACTCACAGACACTGTGTGGACTTTTCAACACGGTGCCATCTCGCCAGTATTTGTTGCACAGAGACATCGTGCGGTGGTTTTGGACTATACAGCAGGGGACACATTATACAGTGATTGTTTTTTATTTAGCCTGTATATGTTCTGCAGAATCTGCATTAAACTGTATTTTCCAAAGTACTGAACGGATCTGGGTGAATTTTGGATATGTGGTTCACCCAGATCCCCCAGTTCCAAGGATATACTTTGTATGGGGTTATTGCATGTTTTGGGGTCCCTGTGATGTGTTTTATGAAACTGTATTTCTCTGGCTGTGATAATTAGATTACCCATTGTGTTCAGTAATCATATCACAGCCAGAGGGGAGGATTTTGTGTGGGAGTGTCTGGGTGTATTGTATGGATTGATTGGCTGTTTTGTAACGCCCTGTGGGCTGTACTATGTTTGTGGATTGGGAATAAAAGAGACTGTATGTGACAGTACAGGGAGTTCCTGCTTAACCCTCAAAGTGAAGTGTCGTCTCATTATTGGGGGAGGATTTATTGTATAAACACCAAAAAAACAAAAAAGATTTCAGACCTAATAGGTGTTACCACCCTTTAGGTCTTCTATCTTTAAGAGTGCAGCGCTGTATAGTGTGTAAAAACACAGTGAATTACCTGTGGTTCAAAGGCAATTATCCTTTATATTCTCCAATGTAATATACATACAAAAGAAAACAGAAATATATACAGATAATTGTGCAGTATATCTATTACTTTAGTGAAGTGTTTAGTGGGTAACATATATATCTCCACTCACATTTTTTAGAGCCTTTTCAAGTGAATAAGGCTCTAAACTTTCGTGCGTCTGTGTCTTTAAGGGTAGATCACACGACCCCTCTCTCCAGGTTCTGTGTGTATTTTCCTCTCCCCAGCGTATATAAAAGACACAGGATTATCCAACTAAGTGTAGCATCCTTTTGTAATATTTTCATATAAATAAAAATTAAAGTGCTCACCTTATTTAGAGCCTTTTGGTAACTGGCTCTAAGTGTATAGGCCTAGTGTCAATTTGTGGGGTGACACTGCCCCTTCCCTGGAATCACTGGTACTGGATACAGTGGATAGTATAAAATAAGGGAATTTATTACAATGTATATAAAAACAGTATAAAAATATTTCTAGAAAATAAAAAAATTGGATAAGAACAAAATATTTCAAGTATTGGTGGTTCAGAAAAAATAATGAGTCCACTTTAAAAGCCAAAACGCGTTTCGCCGGTAAAAACGGCTTCCTCAGTCAGCTTGTGAGTGTCCTCTTGATGTTCTGTAATTTAAGTGTCCAAAATCCCGCCTAAAATGTCTTCTTCCAATCAAAAGAGTCATGTGACGCGGCTAAAATGCCGTAGCGTCACTTCCGGTTTTTCGGCACTACAGGTTCCAGAGTGCTTTGCGCCTAGCTCGTCACTTCCGGTTTTCATCCGATTCTTTATGGGAAATATAGTCCGTTCTGGGAGTTTTATTCAGTTCATATTAGAGCCCTCTTGGGCTCATATACAGTTTACAATGTAAATAAGGGGAAAAAAAGGGGAAGAGACATTGTAGTAAAATGTTATTGTATATGCCATATCTGTAAAAAATGTGTCTTTATAACATCCTACTTATATACTTCCATTTCTCCATATGTGTTCTAATTTTTAAAAAGCAATGACTTTGATTATATACAATTTGATCTCTTATCATATGTAATAGTGTCTTTTACATAAAAAACATGCAAATATAAACACAGTGGAAAAAGTGGCTTTTGTTTCAAAGTGTGCATTCTTTGTGCGAACATATTCCACCTTTTGTTCATTTTTAAAATACCAACTATTTTTTGTTCTAATCATTCTAAATGTATAAAATTAGTATAAAAGTAATTATTCTTTATTTGAAGCAGTGGGGATTCTTAAATGAAATGATGCTGAACAAAATGGGCCCAATGAGAAACGATGATGTTAATTGGTATATTTTATATATATATATATGTAATCTAGTTCATAAAAAATGGCATAATTCAAAGTCCGCATTTAGACCTGTAGGGGCCAAAGTGTTAAGATCAAAAATCCATTTTGTTTCAATTTTTCCTAATTTTCTAATTTCATCTTCCCCTCGCCAGTTAAGTGTGACTTTCTGGATAGCCATAAATTCTAGAAATTGAGGATCTTTATTATGTATTAGGCTAAAATGTTCTGAGACACTATGTTTATCATATCCTTTTTTAATGTTTCTAATGTGTTCATTTATTCGTGTTTGTAGGGGACGTTTTGTTCTACCAACATAGAATAAATTGCATGAACACTTTAAAATATATATAACCCTCTTAGAAAAACATGTGATCATTTGGCGTATCTTGTATTTTTTCTCTCCTTTAGGGTCATAAAATTCTGTGATGTGTCTTTTTGTGCTTTTTGTGCTTCTACAAGCTAGACACTGTCCACAGCCAAAAAAACCTTCTTTTTGAAAAAAGGGGGTAGATGTGTTTTCTTTGATATGATTATGTGTCAATTTTTGTTTTAAGTTAGGAGCTCCTCTATATACTAATTTTGGTCTCTCTGGTAGTATAGAGTATAACATAGGATCGTTCCTTAGCATGGGCCAGTGTTTGTTTATTATTTGTTTGATTTTGTGACTTTCTTGGTTGAAGTTACAAATAAATGGCAAATTTATATTTATATTTTTGCTTTTTGGTTTGTATTTTAGCAATGAGGTTCTTTCCATGGTTTTAACTTCTTCTATAGTGTTTGTGAGGGAGATTTCTTCGTATCCCTTTTCCATGAAATCTTGTTTAATTTTAATAGCCTGTATCTCAAAAGTGCTTTGATCAGTGCAGTTTCTACGAACTCTCATTAGTTGTGCTTTAGGTATATTTTTTAACTAGGGGGAAAAATGGCAGCTGTTTAGGTAGATATAATTGTTTACATCTACCGGTTTAAAAAAAGTTTTAGTTTTAATACTGTTATCTTCTATAAAAATAGTTAAATCTAAAAAATTAACACTTTCTTTGCTGTATTCTGTGGTTAATGTCACTCCCCAGTCATTTGTATTTAAAAAAGTTAAAAATGTTTTTAAAAGATCCACTGAACCATTCCAGATTAAAAAGATATCATCTATGTACCGTTTATAGGAGACAAGGCTCGATCCCCATTCCAGATTATTGTCTATAAATTGTGATTCCCAGTAAGCCATAAATAGATTCGCGTAGCTTGGAGCGAACCTTGTCCCCATAGCAGTGCCAACTTTCTGTAGAAAAAATTCATTATTGTACCAGAAATAATTATTATGAAGGATAAGGTCTATTCCTTCCATAATAAAATTTATTTGTTCTTCTGGATAGACGTTATCCTTTTTGAGAAAAAATTCCACTGCTTCTAGCCCTTTCGTGTGTGAAATGATGGTGTAAAGGGAACTGACATCTGCCGTTACCAGGATGTAGTTGGGTTCCCATTGAATATGCTGTAATGTTTGTATGATGTTTAGTGTGTCCTTAAGATAATTTGGAGTTTTTTGAACCAGAGGTTGTAGACATTTGTCTAGGTATTCCGATAGCCTGCTGGATACAGAATCTATCCCTGAGACTATCGGTCTACCTGGAGGGTTGGTTAAATGTTTATGGATTTTGGGAAGGTGGTAGAAGACTGTGATTTTTGGTTTAACAATGTTGATATATTTATATTCCTTTTCATTTAATATTTCTATTTCCTTTCCTTTGCTTAATAAGTTATCGAATTTATTTTTAATACTGATTGTTGGGTCTCCATTTAATTTTTGATATGTTACTGTGTCTTCTACTAATCTGAGTCCCTCTTTAAGGTAATCTTCCGTCTTCATAATAACAATCCCTCCACCTTTATCCGCTGGTTTTATAACCTTCTTTTTATCTTTCTGTAGTGTTTTCAGGGCTAGCCATTCTTCTTTACTCAAGTTCATATGTTTTTTATTCCTAGGTTTTATTTTATTAATGTCCTGCATTACTAATTTTTCAAAGGTGGTCATTTCTTTAGATATGAAATTATTCGGGAAAAAAGTGGATTTTGCTTTCAAGTCCGTGTGTATATATTTAGAGTTGTTAGTTGGATTAATTAATTTCTCTGTTCTCATAAAACACTTTTTTAGGCATAATTGTCTTTTATATCTATTAAGGTCTATGAATATGTCAAACTTATTTAATGGTTGTGTGGGTACAAATTTTAGTCCTTTGTTGAGGATTTTTTGTTGTGCTTTTGGTATAGGGTCTCCTGTTAAGTTAAAAATAATAGATTTGGTCTGGGTGATTACTTTATTTACCTTCCTAAGTGTCTTGCCTCCCCGAGTTCCTCTCCTCTTAAATTCCTTTGTCTTTTGGGGGGGGTATGCGGAGGTGAGGAGATGTCCTGAGGGGATTGTGCTCCTTTGTATTTGCCTTTTTGGCGTCCCTCCTGAAAAAAATCATCCTTGTCTTGTCTATCTTTTAAAGTGTCAAACCTATTTGAAGTGGTGATGTGGTTCCTATAAATTTCTTTTCTATTTCTAGTGAGGATTGGTGATCTCTCCCTACCTTTTCTTATTATATCATTTCTCTCCTGATCTTGTGTTTGTGTAATCCTTATAGGTTGTGTTTGTTGTGTGGGGAACCGTACGTGAGGTGATCTTGCTCTAAAGTGGTGTCTCTCATATGGTGATGTTTCTTGTCTTTGCCATGAGTTTATCCTGTTTCTGTTGTGTTGGTTTCCCTGTCTGGCGACATCTGAATAGTTTTTAGTTGGTTGATACTGTGAATGCCCTCTGTTGTATTGTTGCCTAGAATTTGCATATATTGGTGTATCTATGTGTTGCTTTTTTGTGGCATATGTGGTGACTTGATTGTTGTCATAATCGTATTTGTCCCTTTTGTATTTCTTTTTTTTAATTTGGATGGTTTCTGTTTCTGTTTTTTCTATTTGTTTTTGGATGTTTTTTGTAATTGTTTCATATTCCTCGGGAGATGTGTGATTTATTAGTAAATTTTGTGTCTCATTTATATCTTTATCTAGTTTTGATAGTGTGATTTTTCTTCTTTTTATTATCATTCTCATGGTAGTAAAAGCGAAATTTTCTAGCATCTCTTGCCATTCTTCTATGAACTCCTCCTCTCCTTTATCAAAAGTGGGATATTTATTATATCTCAATCCCCTAGGAGTGATTTTTTCTTTTAAATATTTTTCTAAAGTGGCTACTTCCCAGATAATACGAACTTCCTGGTTCATAGCTTTTGTTAGTTTGTATTGATAATCTTTAATGTTATAACTATTTGTTTGATTTTGAGTATTTTGAATTAAGGTGGGAGTGTCAAACATTGTGTCTATGTTTGTACAATAATTTTTCCTTTTATCGAAAAGAGACATATTGAAAGAAGCTGCCTCCACACCAATAAGGAGTAAGATACACAACAGATTGAATATATTAACAATAGGTGTGGAATATGTGGCGCTGAGTAATTAATGTGAATAGTGTATTTTAGCTGCTGTTTACACTCTGTGGGTACTCCTAAAAGCCCACCATACAAAGATAAACACCAAGTTATTTGTAACTTCAACCAAGAAAGTCACAAAATCAAACAAATAATAAACAAACACTGGCCCATGCTAAGGAACGATCCTATGTTATACTCTATACTACCAGAGAGACCAAAATTAGTATATAGAGGAGCTCCTAACTTAAAACAAAAATTGACACATAATCATATCAAAGAAAACACATCTACCCCCTTTTTTCAAAAAGAAGGTTTTTTTGGCTGTGGACAGTGTCTAGCCTGTAGAAGCACAAAAAGCACAAAGACACATCACAGAATTTTATGACCCTAAAGGAGAGAAAAAATACAAGATACGCCAAATGATCACATGTTTTTCTAAGAGGGTTATATATATTTTAAAGTGTTCATGCAATTTATTCTATGTTGGTAGAACAAAACGTCCCCTACAAACACGAATAAATGAACACATTAGAAACATTAAAAAAGGATATGATAAACATAGTGTCTCAGAACATTTTAGCCTAATACATAATAAAGATCCTCAATTTCTAGAATTTATGGCTATCCAGAAAGTCACACTTAACTGGCGAGGGGAAGATGAAATTAGAAAATTAGGAAAAATTGAAACAAAATGGATTTTTGATTTTAACACTTTGGCCCCTACAGGTCTAAATGCGGACTTTGAATTATGCCATTTTTTATGAACTAGATTACATATATATATATAAAATATACCAATTAACATCATCGTTTCTCATTGGGCCCATTTTGTTCAGCATCATTTCATTTAAGAATCCCCACTGCTTCAAATAAAGAATAATTACTTTTATACTAATTTTATACATTTAGAATGATTAGAACAAAAAATAGTTGGTATTTTAAAAATGAACAAAAGGTGGAATATGTTCGCACAAAGAATGCACACTTTGAAACAAAAGCCACTTTTTCCACTGTGTTTATATTTGCATGTTTTTTATGTAAAAGACACTATTACATATGATAAGAGATCAAATTGTATATAATCAAAGTCATTGCTTTTTAAAAATTAGAACACATATGGAGAAATGGAAGTATATAAGTAGGATGTTATAAAGACACATTTTTTACAGATATGGCATATACAATAACATTTTACTACAATGTCTCTTCCCCTTTTTTTTCCCTTATTTACATTGTAAACTGTATATGAGCCCAAGAGGGCTCTTATATGAACTGAATAAAACTCCCAGAACGGACTATATTTCCCATAAAGAATCGGATGAAAACCGGAAGTGACGCGCTAGGCGCAAAGCACTCTGGAACCTGTAGTGCCGAAAAACCGGAAGTGACGCGACGGCATTTTAGCCGCGTCACATGACTCTTTTGATTGGAAGAAGACATTTTAGGCGGGATTTTGGACACTTAAATTACAGAACATCAAGAGGACACTCACAAGCTGACTGAGGAAGCCGTTTTTACCGGCGAAACGCGTTTTGGCTTTTAAAGTGGACTCATTATTTTTTCTGAACCACCAATACTTGAAATATTTTGTTCTTATCCAATTTTTTATTTTCTAGAAATATTTTTATACTGTTTTTATATACATTGTAATAAATTCCCTTATTTTATACTATCCACTGTATCCAGTACCAGTGATTCCAGGGAAGGGGCAGTGTCACCCCACAAATTGACACTAGGCCTATACACTTAGAGCCAGTTACCAAAAGGCTCTAAATAAGGTGAGCACTTTAATTTTTATTTATATGAAAATATTACAAAAGGATGCTACACTTAGTTGGATAATCCTGTGTCTTTTATATACGCTGGGGAGAGGAAAATACACACAGAACCTGGAGAGAGGGGTCGTGTGATCTACCCTTAAAGACACAGACGCACGAAAGTTTAGAGCCTTATTCACTTGAAAAGGCTCTAAAAAATGTCAGTGGAGATATATATGTTACCCACTAAACACTTCACTAAAGTAATAGATATACTGCACAATTATCTGTATATATTTCTGTTTTCTTTTGTATGTATATTACATTGGAGAATATAAAGGATAATTGCCTTTGAACCACAGGTAATTCACTGTGTTTTTACACACTATACAGCGCTGCACTCTTAAAGATAGAAGACCTAAAGGAGGGTAACACCTATTAGGTCTGAAATCTTTTTTGTTTTTTTGGTGTTTATCTTTGTATGGTGGGCTTTTAGGAGTACCCACAGAGTGTAAACAGCAGCTAAAATACACTATTCACATTAATTACTCAGCGCCACATATTCCACACCTATTGTTAATATATAGGATTTATTGTATGCTGTTCCAGTTTGACTGCTAGGAGAGTAAACCTATTCGTATGGTTCCTATTCAGCTGTCTACAGCATTCACATGCTTGAGAGGATTCAAATGCTTCTCCGGTTCGGTGGTTGTGGTGTCTGCTGCAGTGATTGGAGTCCTCAGGAAGCGCTAGGAGCATCCTTTAACGGAGGTACCCAGTCGGGGTGCCAGGCGATCCGTTACAGTACCCTCCTTTACTTGATTTCCTATACATATTTAAATATTTCTATCATATCCTCCCGTCTTGTCTTTCCCCTAAGCTATACATGTTAAGATCCTTTAACCTTTCCTGGTAAGTTTTATCCTGCAATCCATGAACCAGTTTAGTAGTCCTTCTCTGAACTCTTTCCAATGTATCAATATTGTTCTGGAGATACGGTCTCCAGTACTGCATACAATACTCAAAAGTGAGGTCTCACCAGTGTTCTGTACAATGGCATGAGCACTTCCCTCTTTCTACTGCTAATACCTCTCCCTATACAACCAAGCATTCTGCTAGCATTTCCTGCTGCTCTTATACATTGTCTGCCTACCTATAAGTATTCTGAAATCCTCAGATTTTAAGGTTAGTAATCTATCAAATATTCTATACACTGCCCTTGGGTTTTTACATCCTAGATGCATTATCTTGCACTTATCCACATTAAGCCCTAGTGAGTTAGGAATTATCAATCTCTTGGACCTTGTACTCTAACTCACCATCAGCAAGAACAGAAGAAGGCAATTTCTTAGTAAACTTGCACAGTAAGACTTTGTGTAGAAAACTGTAAAACAAGTTGAGTATACAGATATTTCTGGGTAAATCCACGGCGTATGCAACAGGATTAACGCTACATATAATCTTATAAGAACCTATGAAACATGGAGCCATGTTTTTGGAGGGAAGGATGTTCTTTGTTGATAACTAGACCCTATCATAAACTTGAAAGGATGGAGCCACTCTACGGCTTTGATCAGCAAAGGATTGTCAGGGTTCGCACCGTACCAAGCAGACTTCTAGGCGTACAAACAAAATAAGTTAAACACAACTGGATATGGGTGGATTGGTGCTATTGAATTGTGAGAGATGCAGCAACCCTAGTGTCAATAATCACTCTGAAGACATTACATAAAGTGCAAAAACAAGTACAAAATACAGGGTGCGCAATTAAAAACACCACCACACAATGTGATATACTTATATCAAGGAGGACCTTACAATTTGTCTCTGGTTATCTGTAATATATACAACTGTACATAGTGTAATACTGTATATATACAGATATTTAAGTATACAGAGGTAATGGGTCACTCACTCTTCCCAGAGCTGCGTATAGCAGACTCTGGCTGTGATGGCTTATCAGCAGATAAAGTTGCTGGAATGAATCCTGGAATTCTGTTACTCCCAAATATTCAGGAAACTTGAAGGTTTTTCTCAAATCTTACTTCAATAAAGTGCAGGAAACAGGATATAGCAGCAGACAAATAATTAAAAATGTCCAAAGTATAAGCACAACGTGTTTCAACCATGTAGGTCTTCCTCAGGTGATAGTTCCTCTTTCCACGTGTTTGTTTAAATAGAAGTCTGGGGGTGTGGAATTTTGGCACCATTTTAACTTCAAGTTTTATTGATAATGGGATTTTATACAGATTTTATTAGTACACAAAAAGGACAGATAAAGGGTTTCCACTATTGTGGTAACTGTGTTGCCTGTAAAAATTCTAAACCTAAAATTAAGAAAATTGAATGCTTTAAATCATTTTCAAGACAAGAAAAAATCCAAACAGGATCCTTCATCACTTGTCATTCTAAAAGTGTTGTGTATGTGCTCACATGTCCTTGTGGTCTACAATATGTGGGCATGACTACTAGCTGCCTGAATACAAGGATACGTGAGCATGTTTACAACATAAAGCAAAGGTTTTTTTAACCATAATTTGTCTCTACACTTTTTAAGGCACCACCACTGGCGTACATACCGCGGTCGCAGCTGCGACCGGGCCCATAACTCCAGGGGTCATGGCCGCCCTGTGGACCCCTGCGACCAGGTACCGGCCACCATCTTTTGCGGTCTGGCCCGTGCGGCAAACCGCCAGGGCCGCCCTCCATGGGGTCCATCGGGGCCTCCAAATGGAGATGGATTGTCAGGGTCCCCAGTCAGAGCTGGGCACTTTAACAACACGACTGGACCCGCTGTGATGATGTCAGACGTAGCCGGGAGAAAGTGATTGCACGTCACTCCTCCCAGCTATCAGAGAGCCGCGCGGGAGGAAGGAGGAGGGAGTCAGAGTGGGAACTCTGACTCCCATCAGGCTGAGCCCACACTGGACCCCAGGGAATTCACCCTCCTGCAAAAGGTAAGAAACAGGAGGGTGACAAACATTTTGTATGTGTCTGTATGTATGTGTCTGTGTGTTTGTATGTCTATGTGTATGTGTGTGTCTGTATGTATGTGTATGTGTGTGTGTGTGCCTCTGTATGTATGTGTCATACAGACATATACATACAGAGACAAACATACACACAT